ATATATATATATATATATATATATATATATATATATATATATATATATATATATATATATATATATAAAACACACATATATATTCCCCCCACGAACCGCAGCGTGACGTAACGCTGCATCACTTGAAACCCTTCAAAGAACGCTCTGTGCATCCTCGAGGAAATCGTTCATCATACGATTTTGATTGTAGGAAAAAGCATTTGCAGGCTGCGATGAAGTTCGAACTTCTTGGAACTAGGCCTACGAAACCTAGTTCTTCGTAGGCTAACAAAGGATTTTTCCTTTGAATTTACAAACTATTTCCTTCGTAGGCGCTGCGAAGACTCCATTTACTTAGTAGGAATTTATGGATGCACCTAACAGGGAGGTCCAAATAAGAAAGAGTAACTAAAGGTGAAAATCGCGTTCAGATGAGAACTTTTGCGAAACGTTAAGCTGCGTGAGAAGTAGGATGGTACGTACCTTTTATGAGTGTTTTACTCCAAATACTGCAGTCCAGAAGTCTTGAAAATGCTGATTAGAGACCTGTTGCACTCGAAAAGGCCAGAGTTCATTTTGCGGCCTTTCCTACGTTTTGATGACCCCTTCATGAAAGGTACAATGATGTGTTCGGTATTAAATTTACAGCGTACATCGGAAAAGTATGTAGGCACCTCAAGGCAACCTTTAACGTCTGAAAAACTAAGGCACGCGTCAAAAGGCTCTAACTTACAGTGTACAACTAACAGTGCGGTGTCGCCCGAGACGTAACGCTCGGTCGGGGAAGCCCGGGACCATCCGGGGAATACCTGGGTAATGTTTGGGGAATACCCGGCGACGGGGAACGCACGGCCCAGCCAGACGGGCAGACGCTACGAAGCCCCTTTCCGTCGCTCTGTGCACCGTTTATCTCGCCCTAAATTCCTTAGAAGTTACAATTTTGAACAATGCAACACAACGTGGCGTAAGAGTTGGTAAAGTCGTCGTCGTCCTCGGCCACCGTCGGCACGTCTACACTCCAGCCCTTCTCTCAAGTCTGCACACTGACCCGTACACATTAAGGTGAAAAATCGACTGTGGGTCACGAATCAATTTATGGGCCATTTTGTTTACGGACCTCTACAAATCCATGAATGAGCGAATAGAATTCAATTATTCTGTATGGGTCTCCCCTCAACCTTTCTTTGTCACATGAAACAGCGTGGATGTCTGAGCAACGACCACAACGCCATCTATCGGGCAGCAAAGAGAGACCTTCAAAATTCAACGAAAAATTGGACCGATGCGAGGGCAAGAAAAAGGAATAGAGGGATGTTTTAGGAACATTTTCAAAAAAATCAATTATGGAATGAAGGGGGACGCTCTTGCCGATTTATATGTATAATAGGTGTATGACTATAAGTCAACCTAAGTTTGGCAAAATTTGTACGAGGCTTGGCGCGCGGGTAGCTGCAGAAATTCCTGGCCCACAATTGGTTCCAAAAATCAATGGTGGGCCAAAACAGCCTGTTTTTAAAACGGCCGTAGCTCAGTAGACGAGGGTGACAGACCGGGCTGCCATACTGCAAAACGTAGTCAAGGGATCATATGTATTTAAACGTCCCAGAGCTACTTTGGCTCCTTGTTCAAATTATTATTCAGAATATGCATTTTTCAAAAAAGTTACCCACAATTAATGCTTTACCTTAACTTCCTGGGTAGGTGGCCCCCAGCGATTCCCCGATGGGCGTACACTCTGAATGTCTTACAATGAAAATTGAGGGATGTTATTCGTTTGTTACAGGCATAACACGAAGCAATATTTCATTGCAATACGAATCTTTTGAGCATTTTATCGTTGTAAGATGCAATAAAAAACCTTCGCAATACAAAGACAACCACCTTCGTATTATGCTTGCGTTATTTCCTTCGTATCATGGCAAATATCTTCGTAAGACATTTAGAGTGAACAACGGCGGCCGTCGCCATTCTTCGCACTAGTACAGACAGTGCTCACGCGTGGGGTATCGCCGTGGCCTAGCCCACACAGAACGTCATAATCTCCCTGGGACGGTCGGCAGACCGACAAGCTCGTACTTGTCACTGCATTCCCCTCGAAGGGACAACTACTCGTGAAATCCAGGTGAAATCCTGCATCAACTTGAACGCACGAAATCTGAAATCTTCCCCTAATATTGCTGAAAACAAGCAAAGTTATTCTGGGTGCAAAGTCGGCCGAAATCTTGAGAAATCCGACAAAATCACTTCCATTGTGTCGGCAAACATAAAAAGTGGTTGCTGCCCCGATTCCACTTCACTTATCACTCGCGTAACGGTTCGACCGCCTCGTTTTACACGGGTTGGTGAAGGGACGAAATAACAACGCACGAATTAGTCTGGCCTTTGACACACGCGGTCACTCTCACGACGGGAATTCCCTGGAAAAGGTCTAGGTTTGTCTCCGTCCCGATGTTCGACGAGTACTGACTGGAGCCTCTTCCGTCCGAGTCGAGGCTCAGCGATAAAGACTCGTGCCCAATCTCTACGAGTCTCTACTTATCTGGGAACGCCTTTGCGGCGAGAGGGAAATCACTACACTCTTAAAACCTTACGAAGTATTTTGAGCATACATATAACAAACTAAAATACTTTGTTATACGAAGAAATAGTTCGTAAATTACGAAGTATTTTCTTTGTAAGCTTACGTATGCTCAAAATACTTTGTTATACAAACTAATTTTCTTTGTAAGGCCCAAAATAGTTTGTAAGGTTTTCTCAGTGTACCTAAAATGCCCAACCGACCATTACCTTATTACGCCAAGTACATCTTCGATCACGGACCAAGGGGTTGACCACTCAGCTCAGGAGTGTACACAGGATTACTGATTACCAGTGATTACCTACAAACATACTAAAAAAAAACCTCCATAATTTTGGCCAGCTAAGAGCATTTTGGCCTAATTTCTTAAGAAAAAACCCCAAAATCCGATAAAAACGGCAAAACTAGCCAGTTTTGGTGTGTGATTACCAATTATTACTGGACGAAGTGTACACACGATTACCAGAGTGGGTAACCCCTTGTCACGGACCTTGAGTTTTTAATAACGGCACTAAAATAGATTGGCTAGCGTATTTCAAACAATGTTCCCCCCTGTGAGATTCCCAAAACCCCTGATAGTAGGCAACCAGCATCACATGCCCCTGTAGGTAGGCAAAATAAACCCAATCGCCCCTCCTCTCGGAGGCTCCTTAAACCGCTAGAAGACCGGTGGAGGCCGCCAAACCTCAAGATGCGTTTTGAGCTCCAGAGTCGCTTCGTAATCTTTCTAGCTGTTTAGCAGATGATTCCTTTACACATTCAATTTTACATGAAAGCATAATACAGAATAATACCAGACACTGTAAAGGTGCAGGCATCCAGACGGACTGTGAAAATTTGTTGTCACTTTATGACAAAAACGTGGATGTCATTTTCATCACTTTGAAATGATGACAATCTCGTCACAAGTTCATGACATTTTAATCAAAGCTCCTATACTTACTGCATGGGCGTGACAACAATGTCATTAATTGACTTGATGACATCTTTGTAAGGAAAATAACAGGAAAAGTAGCGATACACATCGGCAACTTTGGCCCGTCCCGTACATTAAGAAATGTGCGAATTTCGCCTATGGTAAACCCTTACGGGACTTGAACCTGCGTCTGGGGCAAAATAGATGAAATTTTCGTCATCAGCACCCTCAAAAACATCAGAAAGAATGCAACAACTCGAATAAAAAGAATGTTCAAAATAAACCCCTCTGGGATTTGAACCCGGGTTCAAACTTTTCCGATTCGCTTGAATTTGGCACCGTTGGTTTTGTCTTGTCGCTCTGATTCCAAAAATACCCCTACATGCCCTCCTAGCTGTATCCGTTGCCGAAATCCTCCTCGACCCCATGTAGACCATGATGCACCTGCAGCAGCGCCCCCGGGGCTCGGATCGGATTTGCTGCCACCACCGGGCGGTTCTTAGGGTCACCCAAGGAGGCTGCATACCAAATTTGGTCAAGATCGGACCACGGGAAGTCCTCGGACGGACGGACGGACGGACGCACAGCAGGGATCATACTATATGCCCGTCCCTCCGTCATTTTTTTTTTACAAAAAATAAACGGGACGAGCCAATTAGCCTTGAAATTGTCATCAAGTGACGACTCAAATTTTCACAGTGTGTGCGGCGCATACCCCCGCCCGCGCCGAAAAGTGGAGCGGGCTCTACCGCGGCGTGGCGGTGGGGACCAGCAGCGGCCACTATACTGAAGTGGAGAGGTTAAGCGCCAGAAAAAGGGGTAAATGTGCAAAACATAATCGAAACGATTGATTTTTGGCCCGTCCCGTTCATTTTTTGTAAAAAAATGTCGTCCGTCCGTCCGTCCGTTCGTCCGAGGACTTCCCGTGGTCCGATCTTGACCAAATTTGGTATGCAGCCTCCTTGGGTGACCCTAAGAACCGCCCGGTGGCAGCAAATCCGATCCGAGCCCCGGGGGCGCTGCTGCAGGTGCATCATGGTCTACATGGGGTCGAGGAGGATCTCGGCAACGGATGCAGCTAGGAGGGCATGTAGGGGTATTTTTGGAACCGGGGCGACGAGAAAAAAACAATGGTGCCAGTTTCGAGCGAATCGGAGAAGTTCGGACCCGGGTTCAAATCCCAGCGGGGTATTTTTTGAACATTCTTTTTATTCGAGTTTTTGCATTGTTTCTGATGTTTTTAAGGGTGCTGATGACGAAAATGACATTAATTTTAACCCCAGATTCAGGTTTTAATTCCGTCGGGGTCAAACATAGGTGAAATTCGTACGTTTCTTAATGTACGGGACGGGCCAAAGTTGCCGATGTATATCGCTACTTTTCCTGTTATTTTTGCGGGAATCGGTAGATTTTGACCTCCTCTTTCATATGAGTCGAGGGGTCACACTGGGAAATCACGGGAACACCCCGAAAAATTTTCAGCCAGAACTGAGGCCTGAGGGAATTGAAAAATAAAAGTTGACTTTATTTGTCTCAACAATTTAAGTATATTGAATATATTTTGAATATTGAGTATACTTTGCCAAAGCAAAGAGGGTCAATCAAGCGGTAATTTGGTTTGGGATTTTTTTCGACCTGCTACAAACACGTCCGCTGCAGCAGTGGGTTGTCTTGGATTTCTCTGAGTTTCTTCTGGATGATGGCCTCTGTGACGTCGTGCAGTGCGTCTGCCATCCAATCCCATGGCAGCCTCTTCTCGAGGAATGGGCAAGACCTCAGGGTGGAGTCGATGGTGATTTTCCCGAAGTCCACAAGGTCCACCGAGTCAACGCTCAGCTTGCAGTCGTTGCCACCAACCCTAGTGTAGCTGCCGCGCGCTCGGATGGAGTTGGACCCCATAGTTGCGTTCACCCAGCCATCCGTCTCGATAATTCCAATCCTTGCGTAATAGGTGTATCTGAACAGACAAGAGGCGCCAAGACAAATCCTCACACTAAGAATGATTGTACATCCACACTTTCGGTTGTCAGCCAATTCAGCCTGCGTACAGCACCACACTGTCAGAAAAAAAAGTCCGTAAATTTACGGAGAAAGTTACTCTAATTTTGGGAATGGAGGCTCCGTAAATTTTCCATATTTTAACGGAGATTTTCCATATTGTTACGGAGATTTTCCGTATTTTTACGGAGATGAACCGCATTTTTGCAGAAATAAACGCATTTTAACGGTTTTCATCCCTCCTTCCTTCGATGTTAATGCAAACAGTGTCCATTTAGACGAAAGTGATATTCCAAAACTGTTTGAAGATCCACTTGACCACATGCCATTAGGATCGGATGAATGGACGGAAACCCAAAGGCGAGGTCGCTTTAGGGAAGGCGTCCATTTGGAACACCTAATCAGTTGGTCACCCAACCCATCGATAACGTGAAATAGTCTGTTCTTTTTGATAAGTAAGGTTCTATTTCATTTATATACGTAACTTCCATACTTTTACGGAGAAAATCCATAATTCAAAAAAAGGGAGATCTCCGTTAAAAAAAATGGACAATCTCCGTTAAATTTCCGTATTTTTACGGAGTTTTCTGACAGTGCACCTTTCAGGTTTTACTCAATGGATAATACTCACCCGACCATTATTTCTTCGAAGCCAAGCGAAACCTCAAACACTAACGCTCCGTTGTCTCCACGATACAATTTTGAATCGTCAGTTCTTTTCAAGCTTCTTAGCGACTTGACGGATCCACCCAGCTTTAGAATTGCTGTGAACTGAATATGGAACCAATAGGTCAAATGAGTTTGTCCACTCATGCACGCCTTATTCGAACCATCTCATGTAGCCATGGACTGTCGAAATATGGCCCAAGGCAGGAAGGGTGACTTGCTCGGCACGGTGCGTTCAGCCTCTACACCGGTAGTCAGTGACATCACATTCCTTTCTACGTGAAAACTGCCATGAACGTATGAGAGTACCAAAAAAGCAGTCCATTCTGACTCGATCTCAGAAATGTATGCTAAGTATTCTCCGGCATTTTTGTTACAAACTCTCTTATAAACTATTTTCTTTGCATGGGTAACTATAACTTCGCAACTTGCAAAGAAAGTGCTTGGCACACTTTACAAACCATTTCTTCGCAACTTACAATTTCTTTAAAAAATATTGCCAGGAACTTGAGTTTTTTTTTTTTCAGTCTTCTTGACCGCGTTGAGGGTCGACTGAACCTACCCATCTTTCGGACGAGATTTCGAAGCCCGGCAGGGGAACTTTGTCTTTGAGATTGAGATACTCCAAGCCCAAGTCCACGACATCGTTCAGCGCCAAGTAGTCTGGAGCGTCCAGAGATTGTGTTGCCTGTAACCAGGGAAACTTATGTCAGGTTATGCTGTCTAAATCAAGCGTTTTTTTTGTGAGAGGGGGGAAGGGGAGGGGAGGAGGTTGACGGGATAGTGCTGCAGACACAGTTTGCCTGCTCACGCTTGAAACCTTACGAAGAATTTGAGCTCACATGCAAGAATAAATAGCTTAAGCTTGCCTTTGATCCTATATCAAGCTACTTGTCTTCGTGAGGTCTTGTTTATAGGGTTTTCAAATTGTTCGTCTTGCTCTGAATCAATTATCGCTGCGGTGCCTCTATTACGGTTGCCACCTGCTGTCAATCCGAATCAATTTTGGCGTTCTTTTAAGATTTAGACATTTCAGCGCCGCGTGGGCGAGCTAGAGAAACGGTGGAGATGACGGCCGAAACTCAGACGCGTTTCGAGAGTTTCGGGCCGCCCGTTGAACAGAACTCGAACCGAACGGGTGAACACTGCAATTGCAAAGGCGATACTAAAGTACATTTTTTGGCGATACAATTGAGTATCGCCAATAAACGGCCTTACGGAAAAGTATTGCGTTCAGAACGGCGATACACAGAAGTATCGCCAAAATTTGGCGATACTTTTGGGTATTGCCAAAACCACGGCATTAAACAAAGGTCTTGTCCCCTTGATTTGTTCGACGTTTATTGCCAAATCGTGGCAATACTCCAAAGTAACGCCGAATTTTGGCAATACTTTTGTGTATCGCCGTTTTGAAGGCAATACTTTTCCGTAAGGCCGTTTATGGGCGATACTCAATTGTATCACCAAAAAAGGTACTAAAAGTATTGCCGTTGGATGTACAGTGAACCCGCCAATGGATTGTTTTCCGAACGAGAAATCTATTGGTGCGGGCGCACGATTAGTTCAAGTCCCATTTGGCGACTCTGCAACTCAAAACGCTTCTAGAACTTTTGCCACCTGCGCCGGTCTTCTCGCCCACTGTGCGTGGCTCACCGCCTACCTGTGCGGTCAACAGACCCACGAATAGGGCGAAGAGGACCCTGGGCATTGTGCTTCGATTGTCGGTGTGAACTGACAGATCGCAGTTGGACGAAGGAGACGCCTGGCCACTCGACTTCTGTGCTTGCTTCCGTCGTGACGGCCAAGGTAGTGCACCAGGACTAATCAACTGCACAGACGCCCCAATACGTAGACATCCATGAGGAAAAATGTGTTGGGCAAAAAACGAGCCTGCAATATTAATTAATCTTTGATCCTACGGCAGGTGCAATCTAATCGAACCCTGTGTGTCTAGTGGGACTAGTGTGTCTGTACTCCTACAAGCAGCGCACATCGAATCAAAACGTGGACGTATCGATGCACTGGTAAAACAAAGGCATAAAACCTACGCCCTCAAGGGCATAAATAGTCTTTCACGCCCTTCAAGGGCGTGAAGGGTGTAGGACTTTAAGGCAAAATTTTAATGCCTTGTCAAAGGCATAAACGATCGTTTACGCCCTTGAGGGGCATAATTTTGATGCCTTTGTGTCCCCAGTGTGTTGTTGATGGTGTTCTGACGGCGTTGCTGACCCGCAGGCCTGGACCCGAGGGGAACGAATGAGAAATCTTGTGTACATCGGATAGGAATTACCCCGGACTACATCGAAAAATTTCGAGGATTACCATTGGATTACGCCGGATTACCCCGGATCACCTCAAAATTTCAGCGGATTACCCCGGATTACCTTAGAACTTCCTTAGAATTTCTGGTTATCCGCATTACAGATTTTCAATCGCACGTGCATCTAGCGTGCATCGCTAGAGTTATTGATCATCTATCGAAAAGTAGATAAGCCGAGGCGTAGGAGGCAGTGCGACCCAGGAGTTGGCACCCTCCCGACACGAGAGCCACAACCCGTTGAGGCCGTTACTGGCACACTGGCACGGGAAGATGGCGAATGGTGCGGTCGTCTTGATTGCGGCTCTGGTTGCCTTCCAGAGCTTCAGTCGTGCAGAGGTATAACTGGATGTGGTTTTCTTATTGTTAAGTGAAAAAAGTGGCTATGTGACATTTTTTAAATACTTGTGCCAGGTGTCTCAATTTAGGGGTGAAATTTCCTTTCTATTATATAAACTCATACCCTAAGACTAGGACGCCAACTCGTATTAGTTTCTGAGTTATGGAGGTTTACGTTAAATTTTAGTCGTTTCTCCCAAACTCTCCTCACGACAAAGGATTAGCTACCCAGTCTTCACATTCAGGCAACTTTATCTATTTTTGAATAGGAGAAAGATAGCATTGCTCTTTTTTAATACCTGCCTTAATTTTCCTGAAAAACCAAAAACAAGACCTAAATGGGTCAAAATCTCACATATTTGAATAAAAATAAAAATAGGCCTGATAAAATAGCTTTAACAGCTTCTTCTCCACTGATATCTTCAAATATGCCAACGCTGTCTTTTTTCTATGCAGAAATAGATGAAATTGCCAAAATCTGAAGACTGTGTAGCTAATCCTTTGTCGTGAGGAGAATTTGGGAGAAACGACTAAAAGTTTATGTAAACCTCCATAACTCAGGAACTAATAAGAGTTGGGGCCCGCAACTTTGGGAATAAATTCATCTAATAGTGGTTGAATTTTGACCGCAAAATTATCTTCCTGTCACAAATATTTCTAGGACATGCTAGTTTCACTTTACAGTATCCTTAAACAGTTTTCGATCATTACAGTGCAGGCCCCTTGCTGTCCCAGTTTCGATGTCGACGCGTCCTAAAAGAACAATCCTAACTGTGATAGTAGATCCAAGACAATCCTAACTGCCCGAGCACGTCAGCGCCCGGGTGCGCGCTGGCGGCACGGAGGACCCCATTGAATCATCCCCGAGGCTCGAGTTCGCCGGGCCATGAGCCCCTCTGCGTAAGCGGGGGCCGTCACACGAAGTCGACTCTCTACTCAAAAAAATTTCAATACAAAATTCTGTAACATGGTTACGCAGTAATTTCCACTACAAATGTTACAGAATTTTGTATCAGCACTGATACAAAATTTTGTATCACGCGTTACGGTAAACTGTTTCCCGGTTACAGAATTCTGCAATGCAAAAATCATAAAAAAATTGTCGTTTTATAAACAAAATTTGAACCTCATCGATCGTTCGTTCCTACACATTCGCTCCGTCGCTTCTGTACTCCCGAACACCCGGAGAAACCGAACTGCGTTCTCCGGAACCGAACCCCGGTCCTCCGGATTGCCAGCTCGGTATGCTACCGCTTGCGCCACAGCGCCGTATGGGGTGGCACGCCTCAGACTGTCGATGACACCGAGCGGGCACGCTGCATGCCCAGGTAGTGGTGGGAAACGAGCCCTGCGGCGCGACAGTTAGAGTTCCTGGCCCGAAGCTTCTAAAGTAAGGGAGTATGGGGCGATTTGTAACAGGGGCGATTCGTAACAAATGCGTTTATTAATTTAAGTGGAGGGAGCAGAGGAAAATCTGAGTATGGCCCCTCTTTCGCTTCAAGTACAGGGTCTTTGAACAATCGAAGCGGGTGTGATCGGTGCTCAGTTATAGTTTTGGAGGGCGTCTGAAATATAGGGTACACCGAAAACAGGCAAATCTTTTATTTTGAGTTCTAAGAAGTTTCTGTCTGAGGCTCCCCAGGTATGAATGACCATCGAAGTACCGTTGGGGCCTTGAAGCGTGACCCCTTTACAATGTAAACACGTGGCATAAGTTGCTTTTACTTTGTCCAGTGATAGTTAGGGACGGATTTCTTGCGTAACAGGCATTTGGGGTGATTCGTAACAGACCCGTATAAAAACAAGAATTTAAGTAGTTTTTGCTGCTAAATGCTTGAATTATTTCTCGAATCATCTGCTGTTTTATTCCAATACATTTACACAGCTCGAAATGCATTTTACAGCGAGTTATTCTAATCTTTCCTCTAAAATTGAAAAAAGTGAGGTTAGGATTGACATAGCCTATCAGTTAATGCTGAGGCGGTCAACGGCAGCTTGTAATGAAGATTTTTAGACGTCTGCAGGACACCCGAAGAACAACTGGTGGAGGAGATAACATTCCCGACGATGTTTCATTTAATGTGTAGGATGTTATGGAAAGCCCCATGGCTGTTACAAATCACCCCATGCTGGGGTGATTCGTAACAGCATGCAAGGGTTTGGAAAACGTCTTAGATTTCAAAGATTACGGACTCCAGATTGATCCAGTGGAGCTGCACAGTCTAGATGAAGGGCCAGACTGCTCAACTGGCACAACTTTGACACCGATATGCAGAATGTTCTTGATTTTGTATAGAGAATTCCGAAATCTGTTACAAATCGCCCCATACTCCCTTACTATGCCCCACGTTAGGACTTTTCGCCCGATCAACTGTGATGTTAAAACTAAGCTCGTAATTTGACTTTAAATTTGCGTTATTAATTTTTGCATCAGACGATGTAACTTGTAACGATATGTTACGGTTTTCTGTATCAGTTACAGTTATTTGCATAAAGATCGCATTTTTACACGGAACTATATCACTGATTGTGAATATTGAAACGAAAAGTACAGAATTTTGTATCAGTTTTAGAATTTTGAAGCACTGATTCGTAAATTCGTAACATTCTTGACGTGATACAGAATTTAGGATCAAGGATACAAATTTTTGTATCCAACTGACGTGTTACAGAATTTTGTATCAAGATCGTTACAAAATCCTATATTATTTTTTAGAGTGGGCTTGACACCCTCAAAAATATACATGATATGAACTCCGCATAAGACGTCTGGCCGAAGTCTCCGAAGAAATGCTACACTCTCAGCCGTTTACTGACTATTTCTCATTAGCATACGTATTTCTGTAAGCAACCATAATACTTGGTATTTAGTTCTTAAATACTTAAAAATTCCTTCGTAATTTACAAAGAAAACTGTAATATCAGTACAGTAATTAGTAATTTCTAAGTAAAACTGACAAAAAATACTAAGTATTATGGTTGCTTACAGAAATGCGTCTGCTAATGAGAAATAGTCAGTTAACGGCTGAGAGTGTATGTCTCAAGCGAAATCTTTCATGATTCAAAGCAAGTCCACAATACCTTTATTTTCTTCGTAGTTACGAAGCAGACTTCGTAGACTTCTCTGAGTGCGGCCGATCCGTTCAAGAGGAGCAGTGCACAAACAAACACACCCAGACAGGCAAAACTTTTCAACCCCAACCGCGGAATAGGCTTCGCTTTTTCGCTCAGCCAATGACTGACTGGATCAAGGGACCTACAAATCATTCGGTTGAGTCCAAATTTCAGTACAGTAACTTTATTATTCTGGTCAAGTGCTACAAAAAAATGAAATAATAAGACCAATCCAAAACGTGAATCCAAGCCCTCGGCCAAATGTCACAGAAAGAAAACACCTGGATCAATCTTTCATACTATAGGAAGTTTACGGAAAGATAGCTCAAAACAGCAAAAGCGCCGAAAAAACAAAATGCACCGATCCAATACGGAGGCGTGACATAAGACTGCGGGCACACACTGTGAAAGACCAAAATTGAGCAGAGCCTCCGGTCGGCCTAGACAGCACTCAACGCGTCGCTGAACAAGGACGCTGGTCTCTGGTAGGTCTGGAACAAGCGCTGCTTCTCGGTGGGGCTGAAGTAGAAAGGCTCCAGCAGAGGCACGGTCGCCTCCAGCTCCTTGCACCGCTCCTGCAATCAAACACGATTACGATGGGTGAAACTTGCCGTGCTGGCGATCCAGTAGAGATCTGTGCATGGTGGGTCAAGGCCGGCGCCGGCGGCCGAAACTGAAGACGCGTTTAGTGCTCCCAGACAGGACTGGAACCGAACGTGTGACCCAACCAATGGATTCCTCCTTCGGAGAGGAATCTAAAGGACGGGGTGGCACGTTCGGTTCCAGTCCTCAATTACCGACCCCGGACCGGAGCTCCACAAGCATAGGGTTCGAGGTCGCCGGCGCCGGTCTTTTGGCCCACTGTGGGGACTAGACGCACCTTCATGACCTGGAGGCGGTGTGGGCCCCTCGGGCCGCCCGTCTCCAGGCTGTGGAAGAGCAGGTCGTACTTGACGATGAGCAGCGCCCAGCGGTGGTGGCTCAGGCCCTGCTTCACCTTGCCCAGCGCCGCCAGCATCCTCTCGACCCGCGCCACGTTTCGCTTGATGTCGGCTGTGCAGAAACGTGAGCAGAAACTTACTGATATGTGATCTCTCGCCGCGCGTACACAATAAGAAAACCTTACGAAGTATTTTTGGCTCTACATAGAAAAGCAGGTTGTATGACAAAGTACTTAGAGCATACATAAGCTTACAAAGAAACCACTTCGTAATTTACGAACCATTTTTTCGTATAACAAAGTACATTAATTTGTTTGTGTTATCTATATTCAAAATACTTTGTAAGGTTTCAAACGTGCAGACCTATTGCTCGATTGGTCACAAGTTACAACTGCGCAAGCATAGTACGTGCGTATCGTTCGCAGGCTTCGAAAATTTTGTACTCGTTTCGAGCTCTATAGTCGCTAAATGGGACTCGAATCGATCAAGTGACCCTTCCAATGAATTGTTCTCCAACCGAGGAGGCCATCACACTTAACACCCCTACTAAACAACTGATCGTTGTGCAAAGGAAACGAAGGCTTGCATCTTACGAAAAATACTTCGTAGGCTACAAAGAATTTTTCCTTTACAAACAAAATCGTTTGTATTTCAACCGATTTTCTTCGTAGGCTGTGAAGTGAAGCCTTCGATTTCTTCATATAACAACCAGCCGTTTTTTGAAGGAATTTATCTGTGATTGGTGGGGTCACACGCTCGGTTTGAGTCCTCTTTAGCGACTCTAAAGCTCAGAACGCGTCGCCACTGTAAATGTCAACGGTGATAGGCTGTACCAACATATATTATGGAGATCTTCTCCATAATGCCAATGAAATTCGTCAAAATATCTATAAGGTACAGTGAATTCTCTATGGTATGTTTTTAAGTCAGCTGCAGCACCATAATGGGGAACATTTTCACCATGACATGGAGAATCTTCACTGTACAACATTTGTAGTCTCGAACTTCAGCCACTGTGCTGCGTACCGTCAGACATGTGACCGCTCAGCAGCTGGACGGCGACCACGAGGCTGGCGGAGAGCTCGGAGAGGAGCCTCAGGCGGTGGTCCTTGTGCAGCGGGCCGTCGGGGTAGGTCAGCTCGTCCAGGGTGGGAGCGATCGTGTCGTAGCCGCTCATGGCGGTCTTGAGCGCCACCAGGTCCGCCTCCACGTCGTCCATGTCGGGCACGTCGTCCGACTGGCCGCAGCCCAGGCAGCGGTAGCCGGGCTTGCCGCCGTCCTGGCCGTCCCAGCCCGCCAGCTCGGCCGCCATCAGCTGCTGCTCCCCGCGCTCTGCAAGGCCGAGAAACGCGTTACACGATCCCACTGCATTCACACCACATGTTTACGTACTCACAGTAAAAACCCTACGCAGAGTCGCTTCGTAATACGAAGAAAATGAAGGCATTGACAAATCTACGAAGAAATGCTTCGTATCATGAAGCAAAATCCTTCGTAATAAATACGAAGCATTACTTCATAATACGAAGCAATTCTACAATGCCTTCATTTTCTTCATAGTTCTGAAACTAATGCTTTGTAGGCTTTTAAGAGTGCTTTTAATTACCAGAACTATTGCCATATTGGTGCAATTGTAAGCTACGTTTGATGTTAAATATAGATTAGGGGGAATATTTACATATTTAGCGAGAGAAATTAAAAATTGTGCCACTTAACATAATTTACACCTGCAAAATTACGTCAAACCTCATGTACACAATGTCTTTATACGCTTAAAGTTTTTGTACAAATTTTGTACGAGACATCTCTGTTTTAGGTGCACACGAACTTTTCGTACCAATTTGTACGAGATTTTGCACAAAATGGGGAATTTTGTGCGGTTTATCGTACAAAAATTGAACGAAAAGTTCTTGTGCACAAAAAGTTGTGATGTCTCGTACAAAATTGTACATAACATTGGGTGTGTAAGCAATTGAAGTGTAAACATGGAGATTGTGACACGCTCGTTCGTTTAAATATGTAACATGCCACATTAACAGAGACCGTTTCAGCAGTGTACATTGCGAAACGAGGAAGGAGGAATAGGCCTACGCAATGAATATTTATGCACTTGTGTTGTCTTTTGTCAACTTTTGCCACACTTGAGCATGCGGAAGCTGCACGTAAAATTTCAAAAACAAGTAAGAACAATTCTCTCTTGTCCGAGGAAAGCGACATCATGTCGTAGCGAACGCGACGTTCGTTCACATTCGTTCGGATGCGAACCAGCCATAACTGGCTTATTCCCGTTGAAACGAATGTGACACAATTCTCAAAGGAACGTGACATCTTGTTTCAACGTCTCAACGTGATGTCCCGTTCCTGGAATGAGAGCGCTTTGCGGTGTATGTACAAATGTGAACGTAACTAACAACTGCGCTAATATGGCAACAGTCATAGACTAAAGGTCCACACACACTAAATGTTAAGTACAATTTTGTACGAGACATCAGAGTTTTTAGTGCACCTGAAATTTTTTGTACAATTTTCGTACGAAAAACTGCACATTTTTCGCCATTTTAGTACAAAATTGTGAACAATTTTTTCCAAATTTGTACGAAAAGTTCGTGTGCACAAAAAGCTGTGATGTTTCGTACAAAATTTGTACAAAAACATTCAGTGTGCAGGCATTTCACGTGTATTTCACGCTTTACCCGAGCAAACCGGACAGCAGGGTGAGCCGAGGTGGACGCCGCAGGCAGTGGGGTCCACACAGCGCTCGCAGCGACACTCGAAGCTCCAGCCGCGACGCAGCAGACGACGCCGAGTCACCGCGTCCTGCAACGGAACGCGGATTATCAGCTTTCTAGCGGGTGAGAATTTCATCGACACACTAAATTCTAGAGGACGTTTTAGAGAAGAATCAAGCACGCACAGAAACGTAAGGTGAGTGTAATATTGTGCATTCCAGTGTACATTTTACATATGATGTGAATGATATTATGCACATTGATGAATCAAACTGCGTCACAGTAATGCGTTTTAAAGAGATGCATAATTTATGGACACCCTACGGAAATATTTGTGGATGCAACAGCTAATGGAGTGCGTTAATAAGATTTAGTTATACTAAGATGATAATGAATCATTTATGCATAGTCATGCGTGCACAGATGCGTGTGTAAGATATTGTGAATCATTAAAAGCATCTTTCAGCGTAATGTCTACACAAAGTTATGCATAATGTTGAACACACCTTGCGTACGTACCTGTGCAGGCATAATTGTGCACCAAAAAGTCCGCAAGAATGTGCGGTTCGAGACTGAGTGTTCGTTCCGACGACAAACCTGAAAGGGCGCGTCCAGGTAGTCCAGGGACAGGTGCTCGCCGGCCTTCACGTCGCGCGTGGTCACGAGGAGCTGCTCGCAGTGCGCGGCCTCGGAGTCGCGGCACAGCAGCATCGCAGTGGGGTTGCAGCAGTGCTCCACGAACGACACGCCGTGGAAGACGAAGGTCGCCATCTTGGCCTGCCGGAGGACGGACGCATTAAGACCATTAAGACTTACACTCTAAATGTAGGGTGCCCAGAAACTGTGCTCCTTTTTGCAAGGCCTGATACGGTGAGTACACTCTAAATATGGGGTGCCCCGAAACTGGGCGCCTTTGTCGCCCGCCCCACTTTTTAGGGTGCCAAATGTCACCTGGGCACCTTTGTCGCCTTGTCTTGGGGTGGGCAAGCCATTAAGGAACCTGCCTTCGCCCATGGCTCAGCAGCGATTAACGTGCCGAAGTAGGGGAGGGTGGGGAACCATGACCACTATTGTTTTGGGCCTCCCTCTACTCCACCGTGTGGTTCGAAAAGTTAAGTTTCTAGCATGAGGGGATTCTTTGGACCTCCAAGGACCTCTTTCACCCATTGGAACTTGTCTGCAATGCACGGCAGGCTCACAGAACACTTTGGAAAATAAAACGCAAAGTGGTCATGTCGCCCCACCTATGGGGCACCATGACCACCCCGTGGGGCACCATGACCATAGTAATTTTTTGGCCTAAAAAGTGTACTTTATACCAGTATTCTCATTGAAATTGTTTATATCGCTGTTCTTACCATCAGGCCAGTCAACTTAACTAAAAAACACTCTAAAAGTTTCAAACGTTCTAGATGCCTTAAAATGGACGGTTTAAAACAATTAATGCTCTAAGGCTTTCAAATTTCACATCCCAAGCTATGACATGTGTTAACATCTTATGTTTGTCTTGCTAAGACGAATCCAAATTCGTATGCAGATTTCAATTTGGTAAATTTTAAGAAAATTATCGCGGTTACTACACTGCAAACAAGTGAAATAGATGCTGTTTCTCATGATGCCAGAACCGTCTCGGTGCAAAGTAGCCACGGATCGCTTTCGCGGCCAACACTTGCGGTTTGGAGCTCTATTTAGTAGAGAAACTACCATTTCAAGTCTCAGTTTCAGACCCATTCTTCATCATCCTGGTGATTCACGATTTGTGATAAAACTATCTATTCTGCAGCAATTATTCAACCCTTATACATTTTCTGAAGCAAAAAGCAAATTTTTGACGAAAATTAATCATTATCAGACCAAAAAATGAGAAAAAACACTCAAATATGTATGGTCATGGTGCCCCACTAAAAAGTGGTCATGGCTCCCCACAATGCAGTTTACAACTCTAAGGCTCCCCGAGCAAGCAAAAAGCTACTTAGAATTGAATGTGATGTTGGATATTTTGCCGGAGAGCCGACACTTTGAGAAAAACCTAAGACATCGAACCTATCTCCTCAAATGTGACAGTGAGAAAAAATATCCCAAATTTCAAATATGCCCAATTTAGCCAAAACATTGCAACGAAAATTTTGGCGAGGTGCCATGGTTGCACCCTTGAAGCTAGAAGGTAGGGCTCTGGCTGAAAATAGTAAGAATCCGATTCTACCCAAAGTCCGGTCGACCGGTTGCCGTCGGCAAAGTAGTTCCCGAGAGCGAGGGGGGTGGTCATGGTGCCCCACCCTCCCTTACGTACAATTAAAGTTCAGACTAGAGACTAGTTTCAACTGTAATTACGAACTGTACGTGAAACTGTCATTAAACTTTTCCTTTGATGAAAGTGCCCTCTAAACTACGTTTCGATCTATAGAGTTTTGTTTTACAATTAAACCACTTATAAAACTGCCGCGTCTGAACTGCAGTTTTAGACCGTAGACAACACTTAGTCAAAACTGCTCTCCCTTCCACACTGTACGTAAAAACCACAGTGAAAACCGGTTTTTTTTTTTTTTGCCGGCATTTACTGGAGTTTAGAACACATGATTTACTGTGCCTGGCGGTACAGGATATTCCGTACTCCACTCCTGTGGCACAGTGAATCCCATACAATGTACAGTAGATCCAGTAAAAATAAACAGTAAATCCTATACTCTGCACTACAGTGACAGCCGTACTAATCACAACAGGATTTACTGTGATTTTTTCCCACAGTGCACCCGGGTAGCCAAAACAAGGCACAAAGAATATCATCTTTGGATTGGGCTCACTGAGCACTCTGACCTGGACCACGGACTCCACGGCGTCCATGGGGTTGAGCTGCACGCCGTTGATGTCGCAGATGCCCGCGGCGCGCACCAGGTCCTGCTCGGCAATCCAGTGCAGGCCGGCCTTCTCGCGCAGCCAGCGCGCCGCGGCCGGCCAGCGCTGCCCCTGCCGCACGTCCGCGCCCACAGTGCACCGCCAGCCCGCCGCGTCCACCATGCCCAGCACGCCCGGCAGCGCGCCGGCGGAGGGCAGCACCTGCACACGGAGCGCGCACACTGTTAGTCGACGAATTGGGCGTCACTTCCACCCTACATTACTATGTAGATTTTGCATCACATGCTCGCGCCGTTAGTGCAGAGGTTGCGCACTTGTTCGAGATTATGAAAACTAGACTGTTTTTCAAAACTCTTTGCACCGATGGAAAGGGCTTGAAATTTAGGGTGCATTAGGCTCATTGCTCTTCTCGAAACTCCCCTCTGACTTTATATTTAGGTGCAGTGAAAACACCGAAAAACACAAAAATCATAAAGTTGAGGAAAAAAACTCGAATGCGCCATGTTGATGTAAATGATTTCGCCCTTGTGTTCGGTTGAATTGGAAGTATCGGGCAGTCTACTAGGCCTAATGCACCCCAAATTTTGTGCTCTTTTGATCTGTGCAAGGCGTTTTGCAATCAACGGGCTAGATCTTACAATCGAAGCAAAATAAGTAACCCCTGCACCTCACTCGCGCATGGCTTCACGCGCTTACGCGCTTCCTAGGACGTTGCCGCCCCCTGGGTCTACTCACGGCGCTGTGCGAGGACTGCAGGTCCAGCAGCAGGGGCTGCTTCTCCAGGGCGAGGTGGGTCCGCAGGGCGGCCAGCGCCGTCCACATCATCGGCTTGTCGGTCCAAGACAGCACATGCTCTGCGGCACACCAGGGACACCGTAAGGGGAGGGCGGGCACAGTGGATTTACCAGAAGGCGGCCGAAACTTCTAGACGCGTTAGGCGCTCCAGAGTTGCCAATTGGGACACGTACCGAACGTGTGACCCCAGCACTGGATTGTTCTCCGACCGAGGAGTCCTTTGTTGGGGTCACACGTGCGGCTCGAGTCCTACACTGATAAAACTGGAGCGTAGTTGTATGCTTCATTCAAGCATACAACTACGCTTGAAGACTTTACGCTTGACGTCAAGCGTAGAGAAGAAATCCTCCCATGCATTTAGATGGGCGGGAGAGGGGCGAAATGGAGAACTACGCTTGAAGCCGAGCGTAGTTCTACTACGCTTGAAGAAAGGCGTAAAAGTACGCTTGAGTTCTACCAGTGTATTCGGCGACCTGGATCTCGAAACGCGTCCAGAGTTTAGGCAGCCTCCACCGGTCTTCTGGCCCACTGTGGGGGGCAAGCGCATGCCACCATATTATTTTTCTCGCTCTTCCGTCATATAAATCAACTCTTGCGAAAGATAAGGACAGTCTCAGATGGAACACCAAATACTCAATTTCAATTCAAAAATAATTGATTTTCAGAGTTGAGATGTAAAAGCCTTTCACGCCCTGAACGATTAAAGAGCTTTTGTAAGGCATGATTTCTCATCCTTCAATCGACGTATTACTATCCTCAACATCTAGTAGAATTTCATCCAGAAGCTTCACCACTGACAGGAAGAAATTGATAATAATTAGTCTATATGCACACAACAGTGCACGGTAATTTAGAGTGTAACCTTGAGGTGTGTGGTTCATTCGGTGACCTCTGTCCTTGCGGCGACCAAAGGAAAAGTTAAACAGGCGAACCTCACCGGGTGCCTCATTGTCGGAGTGCTGTTCCGGTGCGTTACAAGGGTTCGATCCTTTGTTTTGCTCGTTGCTTCGAGGCTGATTACCGCACTCATGATGGCACTCCTGTGTAGAAAAAGGGCCGCCGCGCGGACAGGGTTCACTGAATGGACCACAACCTCTCTGCAAACTCAACAGTGTACTCAGTACACTCTAGTTAGAGTGTGCTCATGCGTACGCTCTAACTAGCGTGTACTCGGATGAGTACACTCTAACTAGCGTGGACTCAGATGAGTACACTGGTAAAACTAAAGCGTAGTATTACCCTCTGTTATCAAGCGCAATCAGTTTACGCTTGAAACCAAGCGTAACAGGCTCATCCGCCAAGATTCCCCCTATCTAAATGCATGTGGGAATTTCCAGAGTATGCTTCATTTCAAGCGTAACGTCTTCAAGTGTAACTTTATGCTTGACTCAAGCAAAGAGTTACGCTTTAGTTTTACCAGTGTACACACCTAAGCACGCCTGGCAATTAATGCAGCTGAAAGTGTGTACTCATCTGAGTACACGCTAGTTAGAGTGTACTCATCGGATTACACGCTAGTTAGAGTGTACTCATCCGATTACACGCTAGTTAGAGTGTACTCATCCGATTACACGCTAGTTAGAGTGTACTCATGAGCAGACTCTAACTAGAGTGTACTGAGTACACTGATGAGTTTGCAGAGCTGGTGGTGCACTCACCGCACTTGAAGCCGGCGCGCTGGAAGGCGGCGCACTCCAGCTGGTGGCGCGGCAGGCGGCTGCAGGCGGCGCCGCACACGGGCCAGCCGCAGCGGGGGCACTGCGAGTGCAGCAGCGACAGCCCGTCCGACAGACAGCCCACGCAGAACACCTGGCGCAGAGGGACGTACATACACTGTTATTCAAACTGCGATAAATACTGTGTTTATTTTGATATTACAAACTTATCACAATTACATCTAAAATTACATCTAAATTTAGCAATAACAAGTCACTTTTTAGCGAAAATGACTACAAAGAAAATGCAATGAAATGTTGACGCAAGAAAGGCCTTAAAAGATACAACAAAGCGCTCATTTATCGCAAAAATTAAGGGATGGTTATTGCAAAATAATGCAATAACTAAATTATGGCACTCCAAGGTGCGATACATCGTGGGAGTCGCAAACTCGATTTTATTGCAAAAGATTGTAGTAAAAGTATCGCAGAATGAATGAGTGTACATCGTACGCGCACGCTAAATGTCGACCTGGATGGACCCTGCACTTAAGGAGTTGAAAAACCAGAATTGAGACATCGCACGAAGTCTAGTTCTTATCGGGTGCTACGTCGAAAAACATGAAGTTTGGTACAAGTATGAATCTGCTCGGATCATCGGAAAAGGTATCCGCAGGGCATTTAAAGGTTAAAGTATCAAAATCATGGAAAACACTTTGGAGGGGCCAAAAGCAACTCAAAGTAGTCCTCTGACAAATAAAAAATCATAGAAGGCACACCAGGGCACGTCATAGACAGGTGTGCTTTATCGTTTAACAATTCCTAAGTAGTTCTTCAAGAAACAGAAAGTAAGTATCAAGCACAAATTACTTGCAGAAGTACTTATAAATTGGGCAATGAGTCAGTAACGTGCTGAGGAGTGCAGGGAGTTTCCTGGAAAAATCGTCAACAATTTCTGGCGCGGAGAAAGTTCTAGCACCCGGTTTCTGGTATATAGCTCATAGTTCTGACTCACCATTCTGGGGTTCCAGGGCGGCGGCACGACCAGCATGGGCAGCTCGCGCAGCACCACGGTGCCGGCGGGGACGTCCTTGGCGAACACGAGGTGGCGGCCCAGCGCGTCGTCGCGCCGCTCCTCCAGCGCGCCGCACCCCGCGGCGTGGCGAGCCTCGTCCAGCGCGCGGTGCTCGTCACCGCAGTAGAAGTCCAGGCGGCAGGTCTCGCAGGGGCGGCCCTCCGCGCCGCACACCGCGCACGGCGCCGACTCGGTGTCTGCGGGAGCAAGGCCCGTTCAAGCAAAGACACTTTGCAAACTTAAGTGTCGACATAGTACACTCCACCTGGAGTCAACCTAGCATGTACACTCCACCTGCAATCAACCTGGCATGTACACTCTACCTGCAATCAACCTGGCATGTACACTCCACCTGCAGTCAACCTGGCATGTACACTCCACCTGCAGTCAACCTGGCATGTACACTCCACCTGCAGTCAACCTGGCATGTACACTCCACCTGCAGTCAACCTGGCATGTACACTCCACCTGCAGTCAACCTGGCATGTACACTCCACCTAGAGTCAACCTGGCATGTACACTCCACCTAGAGTCAACCTGGCATGTACACTCCACCTGCAATCAACCTGGCATGTACACTCCACCTGCAATCAACCTGGCATGTACACTCCACCTGCAGTCAACCTGGCATGTACACTCCACCTGGAGTCAACCTGGCATGTACACTCCACCTAGAGTCAACCTGGCATGTACACTCCACCTGGAGTCAACCTAGCATGTACACTCCACCTAGAGTCAACCTGGCATGTACACTCCACCTGCAATCAACCTGGCATGTACACTCCACCTAGAGTCAACCTGGCATGTACACTCCACCTAGAGTCAACCTGGCATGTACACTCTTGCTGAAGTCCCCTACCCTTTGCACGTAAAGCAGAGCAACCGTGTACTTGCAGGTAAACGCCACCTGGCGTGTACGTGACAAGCATGCTCCAGCCTCGAGTGTACATGCCAGGTTGACTCCAGGTGGAGTGTACATGCTATGTTGACTCCAGGTGGAGCGTACTATGTCGACACTTAAGTGTGTAGAGCACTTATAGCCCCGACCGCTTAGACCATGCCAAGGGGAAATAACACCAGCCAAATTTGTGCATGCACCAGAATTCATCAAACGTATAAAATTTACTACAATTTATTGAAATTCATCAATGTTCGACTGAACTTCATCGAAATTAGACTGAAATTCATCGAAATTTGATCGAAACTCATTGGATTTGTACACTGAAATTCACAGTGATTTACCCTTGGACCATGCTGATATTTTGAGGGCATGTAATACACCTGAAAGAGACTAGGAAAGCCTAGATACATTATATCCGGCAATACATTAGCTGAGTTATAAAGCCCAGTAACTTAACGTTACACTTTTACAGTAAAATTGTGAATTTGGCGATTAAGCCTCAAACAATCAATTTTTGCACTAGGAGGCTAAGAGGACTTCTTCACGTAAAACTGACCAAGGAACAAGATTTCACCAGCCTGCTGTTAATATTTAATGGTCCATATAGCCCTGAAACCATCGAACAATTGGATTACGAATTGAATTGGTATTACCAATTAGGTTAGGACTCAAATGGGAAAAAAAATTTAATCCCTGCATATACCTAAAGGATACAAAGAAAAATGTCAGCAGATCAAGAAGTTGCGGACACCTGGTCCAACGACACTCCGTTACATGAGCACGCTTCTATCCGTGTACGCTTGTATCCGGAAGATGCGTGCTTCTAGGCAAACTCCCAAAGCTGAACGGTTACAAAGAAAATGGTTCGTAATTTACCGAACTCTATCTTTGCATGACAACCTAAGTATGTACCTTACTAATAACCAAAGTACTACGTCAGGTTTAACGCGAAGCACCACGAAGTCAACACGAACCTGTGAGGCTCGTAACAGTAAACTACGGTAAAGCGGAAACACTTACTGTAGCAGAGAGGATTAGTGGGCTGCTGCTCAGCCATGGCTGAATCTGATGAGACCGTCAACTTCCACTAAATTAGTATCCTAGACCTGCAAAACCAAAGAGAGAAATGACATGAATGAAGAGCGCGAAGGCTTGGTGGTGAATGAAACCGGAAGCAGAGCCCAAGCAGAGAGCGGTCTACCATCAACGAGCGATTTAACTGCTAGCCACAGTCTTGGCCAGAAACCTCAGCTCGCCAAATGGGAAGTAAAACTGCACTCCTCAAAAGAAAAGTGACACGTCACGAATCAAAAGTGAAACAGAACACGGCGAAAGATAAGTGCGACTAGCTAGCACGGCAATGCGCATGAAACGAACGAAAATACGCCGAGCCTGCACGCTTCCGGTCTAAACCTGGGAATGTCCCACGCACACCCTTCGCGCTGACGGTGGTACGTCGCTACTACTATGCCTGATGAGGACGTGCGTATCCGCAAAGACCAGTGGAGAGAGCGCCGTTACGCGGGAGTAAAAGAAACCGTTCCGAAAAGGGTCAAGAACTATAAGCGCAAGCATCTTCTACAAGGTATTTTAACGATTCCGTGAACCGGAAGTCGAACAACAAAAGGAATAACCAAAAACGTTGCTGCGCTCAGCCCGGTCTTGTTACCTTTGTTCATTGACTTCCGGTCCGGATTCGTTTACATACTCTATAGGGTACTCCGCAGCGACCATACACTTTCGTTCCCCTTGTGTTAGTGGAATAACCCCTCAAAACACGGCTCACCGGCTTGAAACAAAGAAAAGTGGAAAATGTCACCAACAGGTCTCAACTTGTCCACCTCACGGTCCGTTGATCCGTTCCCCCTAGGAGGGCGTGCGGACGGAAGTTGAGGGACCTCTTCAAACGTTTTTCTCCCACCCGTGGAATGGTCTGAAGTCTGCAAGAGCTACGAGGACCCGACCCAGCAAAAGGCACCCTCGCTGTCAGACTCGCAGGGGAACTTAATACCGCGTGGAAACTGCCCAGTCCCGATTTGAGGATAGCCGACCACACAACGTCAGCAACAGCCGGCGGCTGCCTAGCCTCTCTCGTGATAAGTTCGCACTCTCAGCGAAGAAATGTGGCTTTCAACAGCGTATTTTAACGAATCATGGGCCGGAAGTGAAAGAACAAAGTAAAGAATCGAACCCACTTCTGCGCAGGCGGAGACGCTGACTTAGAGTAGTCGCAGAGTAGAGGGGGAACTCACGCGCAGAAGCAGATATGGGTCTTACTTTCGTTCCTAGACTTGTCCAGCCATTCGGTAAAATACTGCACTCATAAACGAAGACAGTCATAGACAGACAACGTTAGTTTCTGTCTCCCTCTTTCCAACCAGGACGCGATTAAGATGACGAAGAGGGATCAAATCGTAACGAGTTGGCAATTTTCTCATTCTCACGAACCCCTTTACCGGAAGTTAAAGAAGAACAAAGTATTGAGACCTCTACTGCGTTAAAGCGGCACTGTGCCTTCCGGTTCAGTGATTCCTTTAGTAGCCTTGTGTAGGTCTTCTGGGACCCAGAGAAACATTTAACAATTACTTTGTAACTTTTATGCAATTCCCGATTATTCTCGTGGTAGTTGCCTCGAAGCAATATTCCTTCGTAATACGAATCTTTTCAGCTTTTTCATTGTAAGATACGAAGAAAAGCCTTCATAATACGAAGAAAAACCACCTTCGTATTATGCTTGCGCCATTTCCTTCGTATTATGGGAAATTTCTTCGTAAGACATTTAGAGTGTGGTCGTCATGGCCATTGCGGCCTGCCTCGTGGTAAACCTACTTTCACAGCGACTCGAGCGAGGGGTTAAATAGTAGCGCCATACCATGCACACCAAAACCGTGTCTTACACGTAATACACATGAACGTAATACCATTTTTGGGTTCAATCACTGTGGCAAAAAGGTACGGAAAATCCTGTTAATTTTTTTGCCAGGATTCTCCGTAGCCCTCTTATCAATATTCTCCGTAGGCTCTTACAGTATTCTCCGTAGGGCCGCACAGTATTCTCTGTAAATCCGCACAGTCTTCTCCGTAGGACCTCGAAGACTGTATAGTCCTACGGAGATCACTGTGCGGTCCTACGGAGAATACTGTGCGGTCCTACAGAAAATACTGTAAGAGCCTACGGAGAATATTGATAAGGGGCCTACGGAGAATTACCTAGTGTTCGAAAATTCCCGGGAACAATCATTCAGGGGAATATTCCCGAGACTTCCCGGGAATTCCCGGGAATATTCCCACTTGGCCGGGAACATTGCTTCATATGAAACCATCACATTTTATGAAAGTTAAACTTTTTAATAGGAATTTTTTTATATTTTATATTACGAAACTTTTTGTTTTGTTCTCTTCTGAAAGAAAAATGCAAATACACTCAAGTGATTCATAATTATTACTTGATACCTTGCACTTTATACATTTTTTGTGCAAAAACTAGCTTATTTTAGCCATGTTTTAAAAATTCCCGGGAATTTCCCATTTTTTGAGTCTGATTGTGCCCGGGAACGTTCCCGGGAATTCCCTTAATTCCCGGGAATATTCCTCCCCTTTAGAACACTAGAATTACCACAAGCTGTTTACAGGATTTTCCGTAGCTTTTTGCCACAGTGATGTGCCAAAGTTCGTAATTTCCAAGCCGTAAATGCTCGTGTAATTTCCTCGTAGTACAGCGTAATACCGAGTAGTCTTGACATTGGGTTGCTGCTGTCGTATCACTGTGTGATCCTACATTCTCTGTTCCTTAACTTTCATTTCGGGCAGCAGCGTCAATTGGTGCAATGCCATCCCATTCCTATGCATTAGCATAGGCCATTTCCGGGACGCATTGCACGTAAGGTGCAATATGGCTGAGGCATTGCACGCATGGTGCGATATCTCAGTGCATTGCACCATACGTGCTATATCCATAGCGTTTGTAATCTCAGTGTACCCGGGGATATGTCGTTGCGCAGCACAGTGGGCTCAACACCAGTGGAGGCGCCGACCAAAAATATTGACGCTTCACTGTGGCAAAAAGCTACGGAAGATTCTGTAACCAGCTTGAGGTAATTCTCCGTAGCCCCCTTGTCAGGATTCTCCGTAGGCCTTTACAGTATTTTCCGTAGGACCGCACTGTCTTCTCCGTAGGACCTTACAGTCTTTCAGGTCCTACGGAGAATACTGTACGGCCCTACGGAGAATACTGTAAGAGCCTACAGAGAATCCTGGCAAAAAAATTAACAGAATTTTCTGCACCTTTTTGCCACAGTGTTTTTGAGCTCTAGAGTCGCTCAATGGGACATGAACCAAACGTGTGGCTCCACCAATGAATTTTTCGTTTGGAGAGCAATCCATTGTTGGGGATACACGTTCGGTTCAAGTCCTGTTACGCGACTGGAGCTCAAAACGCGTCTAGTATTGTGACCGCGCCTCCACCGCGGTCGCTTGAGCCCACTAACTTTACCCCTGAACGCACTCACCACTACGGCGTTGAGCCCGGCACGGTCAGGAGACCTGAACGCAACCTTGTGCGTGTGTTTCCTTATGCAGTGCTCTAACGTGAAAGCGTTGTTCAAACGGATTTATTACATTTCTAGAAAGATTCGGTGGATGGTACAATGTTATTCATTCGGGGGCAGGATATCCGTGATGATGCGCATGCAGCCCCGGACACAAGGTCCGGCTCTTCGCTTGTTAAAAAGAAACTTGGTGTACACTCTGAAGCGGCCGTACGGCAGCGTCGGGAAGTAGCGCATGGGCGCGTAGGTGGCGGCCACGTTCACTACACTGTAGTTCCCCTGAAAAAAAAAAGAAAACGCCCAGAAATTTTACGTTTTGTAAGGGACTTTAATAGAGAAAACATGAGTATACGGGAAATGTCCGGGCGAAACCCAGTGAACAGCCACCAAACATTCTTTTGGTTGCTCAGGAGGAGACCCAAAATAGACCTCAGGAGCTCTTATTAACTAAGCCCGTAAAAAAGTATTTGTGATTCTATTGCTTCTTTTTACTGGTCGATAGGTGAGATATATACCTCGCGATAATTTGGTTTTTGAAGTCGAAGGATGTGGCCTACGGAGCCGAAAGCTGTTCTGTGACTGATACACAGATAAAACGAAAGCGTAGAATTCACTATTTTCAAGCGTAATCAGTGCACGCTTGAAATCAAGCGCAACAGGGTCATCCACCCGTGGAATATCTCCTCCAAGAGCCTATGACGACCAAAGTGCATTGCTGTTTTCCACGGGAAAGGGCTAAAGAAAACAAGGCGGCAGGTTTGCAAGCTTGTGGTGCTAGTCCTAACATTATTTTTTTTTCAGAGGCACCTTCGTTAATTCCAGAGTTGTACACTCTAAATGTCTTACGAAGAAATTTCCCATATTACGAAGGAAATGGCGCAAGCATAATACGAAGGTGGTTTTTCTTCGTATTACGAAGGTTTTTCTTTGTATCTTACAATGAAAAAGCTAAAAAGATTCGTATTACGAAGGAATATTGCTTCGTACTATGCTTGCGCCGAATTCACTGTAACATACGAATAACATAGGTCAAATTTCATTGTAAGACATTTAGAGTGTACTTTCAACGTGATATGGGTAACAATGCATCACATCTTACATCGGCAATGGGGCACTTGACTGGGACGCCCTCCTCCGCTTCGACTATTTCTTTGACAATGTGCGCGGCGACTTCCTCGTACACGAAGCAGAACTCGCCGAGGGGCATGATCAGGAAGTGGTTCCTCCAGCCGGACACCGTGTCCCACTTGGCCACATCGAGCGCCACCTGGAAGAATCGTGTTGACACTGTTATTCATCAATTATGCCATCATTTTCGTTAGAATGTAAAATCATGTCACGGTCATTTGAAAACGATGTCAGAGAAATTTGAACGTTCGACGGCTGTCTCATTAGGGTGTCATGTTCGTTCAAACATGCTTCAGTATTCAAATGATTGTGACGTTATGCAGTTAAGGTGAGGTGTGGGTGAAAATGGAAACTTCTATACCACTTGGCTGTGGTGGTTGAAACTTTAGGGCATTTAGGTACTAGGCAGGAAACTATTACACAATAAATTTCATCCAAATCTACCCACCCATTTAGCCACAGTAGGCTTTTTTCATTGAAATTAAGCGTTTAGTAGAAAAATCAGCCACGCAAAGTTTTTTGACGGAATGGTCTGAAATTTGTTTTGGAGTTACTTAGACCCCTATACTTTAATGTAACAGAGAGATATTTGAATTTTATTTTTTTGTTTTGTCTGAGCAAACTTCACAATTTTTTAATTGGAAAAAATAAGTTTTTTTCTCCATTTTTTACCACTTTAAGGTAAACGATTTAAGAAAGTGGATAGATATTTGAAATATCTCTCTGGTACATTGTCACATGGACCACTAAGAACTACTCCAAGAAGTATGGTCAGTATAAAACAAAACTGTATGCGTGGCTAGTTGACGGAGTAGGAAAAAAATTTCTTCGACACTTGTTGTAAGAGTTGGGTGACCAGAAAGGGTGCATGCATACATCAGTCCATGTTAGATGAACCACTCACTTAGGGGTTCATAACAAAGACCTTTAGGACATGCTGTCGGTAATAGAAGATTATTTTACATTAAAACAACAAGTGGATTAAATTTATCATTTTAATCAATTTTGGTGCAAATTTTCACCCACACCTCACCTTAACTGAATGTCACGCCGAAATACGGTCAGTACACCTGAAAATCTGCGGCATGTAGTTGCACGGGAAATTTCAAAATTGTGGATGACATTTTAATAGAAGCTCCTTTCTTACAGCATGGGCGAGGCAAACGATGTCATCAAATGTCGTGATGAAATCCTTGTTATGAAATTTAGCCTTGAATTTGTCACCTAATGTCAGCCGAAATTTCCTCAGTGGGGTTGGCGAAGATTGGTTGAAAATTATAGCACATGCGAACCTTGGAAGCACCTCGAACAGGCATGCCGTCCGTGATGGTGACGTTGGCGTCCACGACTGGCATCTTCCTTGTGTGGTTGTACCGGATCAAGGATTGCACGTCCCAGTCCAGCGGTGTACACTGGTCCTGGACTTCATCCCGTGGGCAGTTGGAGAACGCCTTGATTTTGATGGTGTAGGGACCCTGCGTCAAACCACGTTTAAATTGAACAAGGCTTTCCAACCGTGTGCCTTCACTGGTAAAACTAAAGCGTAGTATTACCCACCGTTTTCAAGCGTAATCAGTTTACGCTTCACTGTAATTCAAAGGGTGAGACATCTCACCAATTTTCGGCGATAAAAAAGGTATCACCGAAAAAAAGGTCGTACACGAATGTATCACCGAAAAAATGGTCGTACACGCATGTATCACCGAAAAAAGGTCAGACATCAGTGAGATTGGCCCTTGTTTTCCTGGGGAAGTATCGCCCTTTTTC